CACAATTTATGAATTCTGCCTGTCTCACCAGCAGCTTGCTTATGAATTATCTATACTTTGCACATCCTATGAATTTTTCCCTTTATCTCATAAAGCTCCTAGCTTACTATCTATATAGGCTTTATCCATCCAATTTGCTTTCCCATTTTCTATATCAGAATATTATCAAGTAACACAGCAAACACCTATTCCATGAGCCCATCAAGCTGAGCATTCTGTGCTTCTGGAGCAGGCTGCCACTGTCCTGTATATGATTGATTCTGAGGTTCGTAGGTGAAGACAGAGCTCCCGGGCTCAGGCTGTCAGGGTTAGAGTATCAGACTCAAAGTATCAGAGTATCAGGTTCTCCAAAAACAATTTGTCAGGTGACACTATTTCATTTCCTATTGACTTGCCTGCTGGAGGCCAAAAATAGAAAAAGGGGAAATTGGAAAGAAAGAGGAAAGATCTGAAAAAAGATTCTCCATTATCTTTTCTTTAGTTCCTCTGAAATTATCATCTAAAAATTGGTCTGAGCTGTCTGTATGCTCCAGGTGTCACCCTGAGGGTATGAAATGCTTCACACAGGGCTGAGGCCACGGCATTTCAGAGGCCAAAGGGTGTCTGAAAGAATTAAAAGTATGTTGCTCTTCCTTTTTCGCAGAAGAATAAAAGGGTGGGTAGTCTGTATGGTTTCATAGGGAAAATTTGGGGGGGTGACGGGGGTGCAGAATCTCTATCAGGAAGTTCCCAGATCCAAAGAAAGTGACATTTCTGACCTGACACTTGAAAGGGCAAGAAAAAGCTCTGTAGTCAGAGCAATGGATGAGTGAGCTGGAGGGGTGGTGAAGGGAGAAGAGAAAGTCAGACTTCTTGTCTCCAAATCACAATGTAAGTCTGAGTCTTTGGGAAGATAATTTAAAGGGAAATTGTTTTGACTTGTTAAAACAGTAAAGAAGACTTTATTTAATGGCAGTGGGGGAACAAGACTGAACTCACCTCTGAAGACAGCAGGGACACGTGGGGACTTACAGCCAACAGGCAGAGTGAGGGGAGTGGACAGAACACCACTAAGATGACGTATCAAGGGCAGAAGATACACTGACTTAGCAGGATTCTTGGTAAAGGCTGGCCAAGGTCCAGGCCTGGTCGAGAAGGGGGATCAGAGGAGCCTGAGCAAAGTCTGGTCGAGGAGGAAGTCTGTCTGAAAATACTCCTTGAATTTGGACCCATATGGAAACGACAGAAGTCAGAGACTGAGGACACTGAAAGCCGAGGGGGTGGCCCAATTGTCCATGTCAACCCTGGGGTCCTAGGAACACCTGCTGGCCGAGCGGGGGACACAGTGTGGCCGAGGCTGAGCAGAGACGCCAGTAACCACGGAGAGTACAGCAGACATTCCCTTCATTCATCCTGTGTCACAATATCAATGTTTTCTGCACACCCTCCATTCCCCAGGGCAGGGGTCTCCAAATGTTAGCATGTCCTGGCACCACCGGGAAGGCTTTTTAAACCAGAGATTGCTGTTCTCGCCCACAGAGCTGCTGATTCAGTGAGTCTGGGAGGGATCTAAAAACTGCATTTCTTTTTTTTTTTTTTAAGATTTTATTTATTTATTTGAGAGAGAGAATGAGATAGAGCATGAGAGGGGGGAGGGTCAGAGGGAGAAGCAGACCCCCCGCCGAGCAGGGAGCCCGATGTGGGACCCGATCCCGGGACTCCAGGATCATGACCTGAGCCGAAGGCAGTCGCTCAACCGACTGAGCCACCCAGGCGCCCTAAAAACTGCATTTCTAACAAGTCTTCAGGTGATGCTGTTGCTTGGGGTCAGGGGACATCACTTCGAGAATTAATTCCCTATCGACAGAGGATGAGAAAGGGAAAACGTGAGCGAATGAGGACCTTTACGGGGGACTCATCTGAGTAATAAATTGTTTGTGGAGGGTAATAGGGAGTCGCCAGGGCCTTACGCAGGTTTGCGTTAGTGGGGTGGTGCCCCCCCCCCCGCCCCGCCCGTGCTGAGTGTTGGCTGATAGGGACTCACAGCTGCCCTGCTTTGGAGAATCTCCTTCAGCCCAAGGAGCAACCTCCTCTGGGAGGCTGTGTCCCTGGGGCCTGTGGGTGATCTCATAGCCAGTAAGTGACTGACTGGAGTTACAAGAGGCCATCCCTCTTCCTTCAAGATGGAATAGAGGTAGTGTGATTTGTCCTGAAGCTAATCTCGAGCAGAAATCTCACATTGTCTTCTTTGTTCCTCTGCCCCATCCTGCTTCACTGATTCCCTCTTCTGAAACCGCTCGGGAAATGTGTGTGCCTGGATCCTAGTCTCGGCTTCTGTCTTCTGGGAACAGAAGCCAAGTCGAGAAGGATTTCTGAGACCACAGGATAACATCTGACGTTCCCCGCGATGGACTTCGGCCCTCTCTTCCTCAGATTTGGGGACTCCAGCGTCCAGAATGAACACGGGCACGCCTGAAGCCCAGAAACTACCAGTGTTCATGCGGTCCTCAGGGAAGACGTGGCGTCTACGCAGTAACAGCCACGAGGGAGACTGTTGGGGTCTCGCCTCCAGGAGTGAGCTGCTTCGCAACTCTGGGAGCAGGCTGTTAGCGAGGGCCTGAGTCCCGGCTCTCTGGGCTTTAGAAGCCCCCGTCCTGCCCAGGGACCCTCCTCAAAGGTTTTGTGACCAGCAGAGCAGTCGTCATTTTAGACCCGTTAGGTGGTTTATGGGGTGGATTTAGGTGAAAACACTGGTTTTGGAATCCGTTAGCTCAAGTTTATCTAACTGGCATGATAGTTTGTGGGAACCTCTGGTTCGAGGAAGAAATTCGGCAGGAGTAATAATGCCAGTGAGGTCATGGTGATCCCAGTGACGGAATAGGAAGGTTCTCACTACGGTGATGGACCGGAGCTCCCAAGACAGCCCTAGGCAGTCTGCCCGCTTCCAGAAGGTTCTGTGTGTGGCTTTCCTTGGAGACCAAGGGCTGTTATAGGGGTTGGTGAGGAGGGGAGAAGTGGGAACTTTTATCTGCGGATCCTCCCTTTATGAAGACTCCAACATTCTCCTCATTGTCATCATCATCGTGGGCAACATTCTGATCAGGCCTGCAGCCCCCACACCTGCCCCCCGGCTACACTCACCTCCCTGAGCAAAGGAGTTTGTTTCCCACTTCTCTGGTCTTGGCTCTCCCCGGAGCGACCTTGGTTTTCTGTTCAGGGTCAGCCCCTGGCGGGCATCAGGAGGAGGGAACCTGGATCTCTCAGAGCGGCTACAGGATGGAGCCTCTGGCGGGTGCTCAGCAGAATGCCCTCCGGTGGAAGCCGAGACCCCTCCTTCATTACTTCAGGACTTTTCCATGGGGCAGGGGACGCTGCTCCCCTGGAGGATCCACTTTCTTTCTTTTTTTTTTTTTTAAGATTTTATTTATTTATTTATTTGAGACAGAGAGAGAGACAGAGAGCATGAGAGGGAGGAGGGTCAGAGGGAGAAGCAGACTCCCCGCCGAGCAGGGAGCCCAATGCGGGACTCGATCCCCGGACTCCAGGATCATGACCTGAGCCGAAGGCAGCCGCCCAACCAACTGAGTGAGCCACCCAGGCGCCCGAGGATCCACTTTCGTACAGCAAATGCAGTTCCCTGGGTTGGGCTGAACCCACACACCGTGCACCCCCATCCTCCTCCACCCACCGACTGGACCCTGACACTTCTGATCTGAAAACAGTAACGGATTTGGACCCCTTCTGAGGGCTGCTAAGGTCCCAGGGGTTCTCAAGAACACCAGAGACCCAGAAGAAACTCAGCAATGAGACCCACTTCTCCACACCACCGCAAGCTGGCTCCGGGGTCCCCTCACTGCCTCACGACTCTGCTGGTGCCTACCGAGACCCATGGAAGTCTCGAATCCTGAGCCGATGGCCACAAACTGCCACTTTCTTTCCTTACTAGCTTCTCAATGCAAGAAGATAAAATTTTCCATGTGTGTCTACCACCTCTGAATTTTACAAGCAGCCCATTCCTGGAGCTGAGACCCCAGGTCTCCCTTGTGGCTGTTACTGTGTAGACGCTGTGTCTTCCCTGAGGACCGCATGAACGCTGGTGGTCCCAGGGCTTCCGGAGTGCCTGTGTTCGTTCTGGAAGCTGGAGTCGCTTTCCTTGTCACCCCTGGTTTTCATGTTCCTGAAAGTTTAAGTCCGGGATCATTCTGTTCTGTATACAACAGAATTACAGGGTCTCACGTTACCACAGATACTCAAATTCCACTTTTCAAGTGCAAAATAATATTTTAAAGTACAAAGAATTTAAAGTGCAAAAAATATGTGAAAAAGTTCAAAGTAATTTTTGAAGGGGAAAAGAAAAACAGCTATTTCATTTCACTTCCTCGTACCAGCTTCTCTTAGTTTCCGATATTCTGAAATCTGACCTCACATAGAAGACTGACCTCTGATGATAAAACAGCCTTCACACAGGGCTTCCCAGCACGTTCTCTACTCCTCGGATTAGGAGGAGGTTTTGGTATACTTTTCTCCTGTTTTTATGTGTTTTTAGATTTTTAACAATGAGCAGGAATTTTATAGGCAGAAGAACGTCTGTGTCTTTGTTGTTTCGAGAAAGCAAGGCTACCTCGCGGGTGGGTCCCCAGGAGACCGGAACGGGAGGGGGGCGGCGGGCTCTAGGAGGCCCATGTCCACCCCTCTCAGCGGTCCACAGCGGCCAGCCCCACCTGGTGTCTGGGTGGGCGTTTGAGGAGCTAGGTGAGGGATCGGAGGAAGCAGGGACCAAGTGAGAGAGGAAGACGTCCCAGACATAATATGGGGGTGGGAAAACACCGAGGGAAGCCCACTGCTGCAGAATTCTCTTTATTTGAGACAGTGATAAGGAGTTTGAAGGTGGGGCAGCTCAGGGTGAGGGGAAAGCCCATCCTTCAGAATGAAGGGACATCCCTGCCCAGGTGCCGTGGCCTGAATGCACAAGGGACAGGCACCAAGGAAGGCTCTGGTAGGGTCCGACCCAGAGGGGTTTTGGGACCCACCATCATGGAGATGCCCCTCCTTTCATGTGAGGTCAGCCTTCAGAGATCCTGTAAGAAAGAGAACTACAGGGCGTCAGGGGGAGCGAAGATTGCATTTGGGAGAGGAAGAGCTTAACAACGCAGGTTTATCTTGGAAGAGAGAAAGGCTACAAAGGGGATCTTGAGAGTCGTCCAGTTTCTGCTTCTTTAAACCTTCAGGATGGAGAAAGGACAGAGGTCAGAACTTCTGGGCACTGCCTTTTTAGGGACATTGGGTCGTCTGAATCATTTATTTCCTTTGGGATGGAGTGGAAAAAACTTGAAATTTTGGGAGCAGAGAGTTGGGGACAAAGGTGTTCTTTCCCTTGTTTTCAAACACACTCATGAATGTATGTACACACTTGGGTGATACAGGATGGTTTGGTTATAGGGACACTGGGTGGGAAGGAACGTGGAGCAAAGATGGATCCAGTGTTAAGCATGTTCTTTAGGTGGGAGGCAGGTAGCCACTTCTGACGGTCTCTGGCCCTTTCTACTCGGTTTTGAACTGTTTCAGGTACTCCAGGATGTCTGACTTGACCGTGCTGACGGGAGCCTTGTGGAACCAGCGCATGACAGGGACTCCATCAGGCCCCACCAGGAACTTCTCAAAGTTCCAACGGATGTCATGGACCTTCATGGGCTCCCAGAAGAGTTGGCTTGCTGAGCCCAAAAGATCAGAGGTTGGAGGGCAGGAGTTCTGGAGCAGAGATAGGAAAAATAGTAGGGTTTTTTTCCTGCTTCTGTGTGATCCAGTTTTATCCCCAACCCTAGAAGAGTCTACTCACCATCCTGCGTCTCAACATATTAACTACCTGACATGCTCCCAATGAACCACAGATATTTCAATGCAACATCACCAACATAGCAACTAGCAATCAACCAAGAGCTAGAGAGTATGACAGTAAACAGAAAATATTCTTCCCTTCCCTGTCTGCCCCTCCCAGGATTATATCATGGTGCGTCAGTAAAATACTATCTTCTGTTTTCTTTGATAAGTCATACCATTCTGTAGCTTCAGTTTTCTTAGCTGAAAAAAAAAATGGTTTGGTTTAGAGTAGTCGTTCCTGGAGTTGGGCTTCATAGTCTGGTAAAAGTTCAATAACTGTTTTTTGGAGATTAATGTAAAATAACCAACATTTATTTTGACAATAAGAAAAATCAAAAGTCAACTATAACTGTAAATTTAAAAATTAACAGATTTTTAAGTATTAGGTTGAAGAAAATAAAATCGATCGTATCACCATTTTTGGTACCACACAAATGGTAATTTGTATGATTTAACCAAATATTAATTTAGTATCCGAATAAATGATGGCCTTTTATATTCAACAAATTGGGCTCTGCGAAAAACTCCCCACATTGTGGGGTTTTTTTCAGTTTGCCATGATGGATGAAAATTCCAACAAGGACCAGACTCGTTTGGCAGGCCAGCATTGGGAACCAGTGGCCTAAGAGGACTTCGGGGGGTTCTGTGGTCTTCCGTGGTTCTAACACTCAGTGGCTCCCCGGTCAGTTACCACACGGCACTCTCCATTCTGTACTCCATGTCTGTCTCCCCGATTGCATAGGGGTCCCCCAGGGAGGGGCTGGGCCCCCTAGTAGGTTTGGGCTCCCTGTGTGGCACAGCTTCTCGCACCTACGAGAGATTCTGTGACTGACGGTCGAATGAACCGATCATTGCCGTTCAGTAGGGGGGTTGGTCCCCATCGCAGCTGCCACACTCGGTTCCCGGTACTTGAAGCTCTCAGCTCACAACGGATCTTGCCATGATTCCTGAACTTATCCAAGCATTTCTTCCCAAGGAGTCCAACCTCAATCCTAGAAATGAGCCCCATGCTTTCAGGGGAATCTCTACCTACCTGACCAATTCAAGGCAGGTGGGTGGTCACTCACCTTCAGGAAGGTAAAGACCTTCTGTTCTTTTTCTCCATTCACATCCCCTTTCTCAAAGAGCTGAAAATTGGGGACAAAGCCACCACCTGGACGCACATGCCTGCAATGAACCAGAGTGTTCCCAAGAGGGTCCAGGTTAGGACAGGAGTTTGGTAACGGCCACAACTCCACAAAAGGAAGTTAGAGATAAAGAGGGAGAGACGGTAGACAGGGAAGGTGAGGAAGGAAAGATGTCTGGGGGTCAGGACTTCATGCTTTAGGGAGCCAGTAGGCTGGAAGGCAGTATTTGAAGGTCAGGATTCCCGATTCATTTCTGTTTCCCACAGCCCCTCCTTTGCCCTGCACTGCTTTTCCCGTCCATATTCCCCTAGTGTCACCATCAAGAACTCGAGGCGGAGTGCACGCTTGGGCATCGCCAGCCACGCAAGGTTGCATGCGAAGCTTCACAATGATGTTCCTGAACCCAGTGATCCACCACCCGCCCTGGAAGCTTCCAGAAGAAGAGGCCTCCAGGCAGAAGGAAGAAGGAAGTCCTGACAGGGCCTGTGCAGGGTCCCGGGCCGGCACTCACTTGAGCCCAGAAAGGATCTCTGAGTTCTTCCCCGGTTCTTGTTTTCCAAACTGGTTGCAGGGAAAGCCCAGCACGACGACACCAGAAGGCTTCAGCTCGTCCTGCAATGCATTCAGTTCTGTGGGGAGACAATGAGCAGCGTGGGCAGCCCGGCCTGGAGCAGCGGGGGACCTCGGCATGTGTCCATTTATCACACGCAAAGTGAGGACTGTAAGGGGAAGGTTCGAGATTACAGAGCACAAAGCCAGAACACAGGTTGCCAGAAACACATCCAGATAGCTGCCATCTTTCTCGTGTGGCGGTTCCCTACGTGGCCCCACTGCACCATCCAGGAGGGACGCCCCTAGAGAGCACAGATGGGTTAGCCCGTGGATGGGGCGGGAGGCCTGCTGGATTCTGAAGGGAATTAGAAGTTAAATGCCAGGCCAGCTTCCTTAGTGGGGATCGACTGACTGATCAAACATTCTTAAGAAGAAGGCAAACAAAACGGACCTGCTCCCCCTGCCCCTTTGTGCCCCACGATGACACACCTGACACCCCAGTCATCCTCCCAGGAGCACTGTTTGGTCCCCTCACCGGGGCGCTGTGCAGGGAAGCAGAAGTCCGAGCCCGGCTCCAGAGCATTCTCTACCCTCTCGTCAACTGTAGTGACCTAACTGATGCCATCTCCCTGGGACACTCGCTGGGATTCCAGGCTACAAATCCAAACTGCTTCTTACCGATGCCGGGAGGGCTTCCAACCTGTTTGTCTAGGCCTGCACCGTGTTTCCACCATCAGCCACCCTCAGTCCCCACTGATTCAGTCCCAGTGCCCGCCGGCCCCACCCAGATTCAGCTCCACCTGCTGCCTTCTCCTCTAAAGCCCTCCTGTCGTTGTAGGTTTCTTCAGTTACCATCCATACTCGCCTTCCTCTTTCACCATCAAGAACACGTCCTTCCTAGGGCAGAAACACGCAGCAGACCCTGCTTCTAGTCCTTCCGCAAAGGCCTTCAACTCTCAATTCCCGCGTCTGGAGTAAAATCTGAATGAGACACTTTTTAAAATTCTCCTGTTCTAGTTTAGTAAGTGACGTCACAGCAACAGAGAGGAAAACTGGTTTCAAACAAATGAGGAAACTCATCATGTACCGATAGAGAAGAATATCTGAGATACTGTATGATGTGAAAAAGCAAGGCGCAGAATCAGTTGTGTGTGTCCTGGCGCGTATGAGAGAGAGATTTGCTTGCCTGTACATTAAAGATTTATGAAAATATACACCATAAACTGATAACCCTGGTTACCCAAACAAAAGAAACGTGGAAGTTCTCTCTCTTTTTTTTTTTTTAACATGGAGCCCAACACCAGGTTCAAGCCCAACTTGCACTCACAACCCTGAGATCAAGACCTGAGCTAAAGGCAGATGCTTAACCATCTGAGCCACCCAGGTGCCCCCTCAAATTTAACTTTTTGGAAGGAAGGAAGCCCCTACTTGCTAAATGATACTAAACTGTTGTTTAGGCTCTTACGATTAGATCCTGAGATTTTATATCAATTAAATAAAGATTTAGTCTGTAGCTTTTCAGGTTCTCCCTAGGGTTGATTATACATAAAAATAATAAATACAAAGTGACCCCAAAATTCTTTTAAATGTCACATCTTCCTATAATCTGCACTTCTGAAAGTATCTTTTTATGAACAATTTCACCATTAAATTTAAAAAGTCTTTAGGTTCTCTCGGTGAATGTGAACCATTTGTTTTTTGTTGTTCTTTGAAGGAGGGGCTATTTCTTTTTTTTTTTTTAAGATTTTATTTATTTGACAGAGAGAGACACAGCGAGAGAGGGAACACAAGCAGGGCGAGTGGGAGAGGGAGAAGCAGGCTTCCCACCAAGCAGGGAGCCCAACGTGGGGCTGGATCCCAGGACCCTGGGATCATGACCTGAGCTGAAGGCAGACACTTAACCGATTGAGCCACCCAGGTGCCCCAGGAGGGGCTATTTCAATATAACTTTTCCCTAAATCAAGCAGCCCCCTCTGTATTAGTCCTTTTAGGCTGCTATAACAAATACGATAGACCAGGGGGCTTGTGAACAATAAGAACTTATTTCTCACAGTTCTGGAAGTCCAAGATCATGGTGTTAATATGGTGGGGTTCTAGCAAAGACCCTCTGCTAGGTTGCAGACTTCAGGGTTCTCACTGTGTCCTCCCATGGTGCAAGGGCTGGGGGGTTCTATGCAGTCTCTTTTTATAAAAGCACTAATCCCACTCATGGAGGTTCCACCCTCATGACCTCAACATCTCCTGAAGGCCCCACCTCCTGTTACCATCATATTGGGCACTGGGATTTCAACATATGAATTTTGGGGGGACACAAACATTCAGACCATGGCATCTGCTGACTGTTCATTTTTTTTTTCTTTTTAGAGAGACAGTGTGAGCGGGATGAGGAGGGGCAGAGGGAGAGAGAGAATCTTAATCAGGCTTCGTACTGGCTCAATCTCATGATCCTGAGATCAAAACCTGAGCCGAAATCAAGTCGCTTAACCGACTAAGCCACCCAGGAGCCCTTGAATGTTAATTTAAAAATATCAAAATTTAGTGAGCCATGTATCTTAGAGGTAAGATTGCAATATACTTAAATTTAAGTGGTGTTAAAAAAAGAAAATTCTTGAATTTCTTATCACTGAAATCCCATTAAGACAAATGAATGGGAAAAAAAGACAAATTGATGGGACTTTATATTTTTAATCAGTTGAATAGATACCAATGTCAACATGTGGAAAATTTTCTTAAAAACTGCTCACATATTATTTTGACTCATTTCTTTGTGGCATCTGGTATAATTAACCTTTTGCATTAATCTTGAAAAAAGCAGAAAAATTAAGTCTGTGCCATGTCAGAAACTGCATTTATCTCTATTACAATCCATCTGAAGCTTTAAATAACCTTTTCTGGATCAACATGGAAACCAAATTCTTCCCCATGAGTGCACAAAGAAAATCCACCTCAGTCATCTAAAAGAAGATCAGGCCACATTTGGAGATGGAGCATCTTTCCAAATAGCTATCACACTAAAGATTACCCACGAGAAAGCTACATTTCCCTCTTTTCTGTCACGGGGGGAGGGGGGAGCTGTGGAATCCAAGAGCGTTATCCAAAAGATCCAAGATCTGTTCTCTCTGCTGTTGTTCCCAGAAGTCGCCAATGAGAAGGATAAAGGCAGCCCCTTGAAAGCTAGACTCTGGCCTGGGGTCATAGCTAGGGCTTTGTGTTCTCCTGTTAAACAATTTCACAGGGGCACCTGGGTGGCTGTCAGTTAAGCGCCTTGCCTTCGGCTCAGGTCATGATCCTGAGCCATGATCCCACCATGATCCCAGGGTCCTGGGATGGAGCCCTACATCGGGCCCCTTGCTTAGCAGGAAGCCTGCTTCTCCCTCTCCCTCTGCCACTCCCCCCTGCTTGCTCGCGCTTTCTCTCTCTGACAAATAAATAAAATCTTAAAAAAAAAAACAACCAATTTCACAGGACATCAGTATCACACAACATCATGGTCACAGTGATTATGATAAGTCAAGACAAAAACAAGACCACTCCATAATCATATTTTAACACAGACAAAACATGAACCTTGTCCAAATTGCAAAAATGGCCAAGCATCTCTCTATTCTTGACAATGTAAGTGACTTCTGCTTCTTTACCAGCTACAGTTTTAGCGCTTTATTCCTACGACCTTGTAGATATGATTTATTAAGACATATCTGAATCACAGTCACAGAATTCTCCCCATTTCCTCATTTCCTGACAGCATCCAATTCAGTGCAAAGCTTCAGTTCCTCGAATCCTTCCCCAAAGCTCCTAACACAAGCCCAGATTCTCAGATAAGTTCTTTCTAGCACTTTCTTTTTTTTTTTTTAAAGATTTTATTTATTTATTTGAGAGAGAGAGAGAATGAGAGACAGAGAGCACGAGAGGGAAGAGGGCAGAGGGAGAAGCAGACCCCCTGCTGAGCGGGGGGAGCCCGATGCGGGACTCGATCCCGGGACTCCAGGATCATGACCTGAGCCGAAGGCAGTCGCTTAAACAACTGAGCCACCCAGGCGCCCATTTCTAGCACTTTCTTAATGAGAAGCCCCATGGTTCCCTACAGTACACGTTCTCCCTTAGGGCATCGAGCAACAAACCCCACTTGTTCAGTGATAGGTACGTTCCTGGTGGTCTTTGATTAAATCTTTGGGAGAATCTTATTTCTCAAATCTGGAGATAATTCTCTTGGCCTCCTAAGGAGTGGAGCTGTGACAGGATTTAGGGGGACAGACTCCCATGATCACCTATCCCCCCCTCACTCCACTCCTCCCAATAATAAATTAGGAAAAACTCCGGAATTAGAATATGGCCATCTGACAAAGCTAGTTCCAGAGGAACTGAAACCTGAGCTCTTACCAGGATACTGAGCTGTCAGGCCTCAGTAGGTGGCCACGTTGACAAAGAGGACGTGCTTGCCCGCATACCGCTTGAACTGAATGTACTCCTCTTCATTGAGGGTGAGGGCTCCGTACTCATAGATGGTGCCTGTCACCCCTTTGTAGCAATCCATCTGGAATGTAACAAAACCACAATGATGTGATAATAAGATAAACAATAACCCCCAGCATGCGTGGACTTTTGCAAAGCGCTCAGAGATCTTTCATGTAACACCTCGAAATTCTAAGAACCAAAGAGACTTTTTCCAGTAATATTTTTAGTTATGGCGAGGCCACCACTAGAACGTGTGTCTTGTAAGTTAAAATCCTATCTGTGTGGGGGGCGCCTGGCTGGCTCAGTCAGTAGGGCGTGCGACTCTTGATCTCGGGGTTGTGAGTACGAGCCCTATGTTGGGTGTAGAGATTACTTAAAAAATAAAATCTTTAAAAAAAAAAAAAGCCAGGGGGTGGGCAGGACAAGCACTTTGTGATGATCCCAGCTTTGGTCTCTCAATGGATATCGCCCCGTAAACTGGGATGTAGAATCCCAAGAAAACTGTAGACAGGAAGGGCTGGACCTCTCTGACTCCGAGGTCAGTTCTGCTCCAGTTTGAAGGGATCTGATACTCAAAAATGCAACCTTTTATTCACAAGATGGCTTTCTATGGCTGGAATTGCCCCCCAAGCAGGCAGCAGTGGCGGACATAGACCTGGACGCCCCCCATAGGCTGCCTTGTTTTTATTTCAGAGAGGGGAGATGGTCTTACAAATGCTGGTCTTTGAGCATCATCTTACACGTCCCAGGGACCCAAAAACAGAGCACTCAGAGCAGTTTGAAGACCTGAACAAGTGTCACCAAGGCATATTAGAAATGCAAGTTCCTGAGACACGTCTCCAAAGAAGACATCCAGATGGCCAACAGACACATGAAAAGATGCTCCACATCATCAGGGAAATACAAATGAAAACCACAATGAGATACCACCTCACACTAGTCAAAATGGCTAAAATTAACAAGTCAGGAAACGACAGATGTTGGCGGGGATGCGGAGAAAGGGGATCCCTCCTACACTGTTGGTGGGAATGCAAGCTGGTGCAGCCACTCTGGAAAACAGTACGGAGGTTCCTCAAAAAGTTGAAAATAGAGCTACCTTATGACCCAGCAATTGCACTACTGGGTATTTATCCCAAAGATACAAAAATACAGATTCAAAGGAGTACATGCATCCCAATGTTTATAGCAGCATTATCAACAATAGTCAAACTATGAGGAGAGCCCAGATGTCCATCGACAGATGACTGGATAAAGAAGATGCAATATATATACACACACACACACACACACACACACACAATGGAATAGTACTCAGCCATCAAAAAGAATGAAATCTTGACATTTGCAACGACATGGATCGAACTACAGGGTATTATGCCGAGCAAAATAAGTCAGAGAAAGACAGTTATCGTATGGTTTCACTCATATGTGGAATTTCAGAAACAAAACAGTGGAACATAGGGGAAGGGAAGGAAAAGATAAAATAAGATAAAAACAGAGAGGAAGGCAAACCGTAAGACTCTATAGTTAAGAGAACAAACTGAGGGTTGCTGGAGGGGAGGTGGGTGGGGGATGGGCTAGATGGGGGATGGGCATTAAGGAGGGCACCTGCTGTGATGAGCTCTGGGTGTTGTATGTAAGTGACGAATCACTAAATTTTACTCCTGAAACCAGTACTTCACTATATGTTAACTAACTTGAATTAAAACAAAAAAAAGAAATGCAAGTCCCTGGTTCTCCTGAGATCCGCTGAATCAGAAACTTTGTGGGTGGGGATTGGAGAAAAGGAACGAAGGCGGGGCTTTGCTTCAGCTCAGCTCCCAGTCTCCAGGCAGAGTTCCTGAGGCATACAGATTTTAACACTCCTACAGCTCCTTTTAACATTTTACCACTATAGCTTTGCTCTGGTTAGTGTAACTTCACTTTTGTAACCGTAAAACCAGCAATCCTCCAAGCACATGGCCCACTGATAGACATCTTAAGGGTCTCATGACTAATGTTTTACTAGGCAGTAGTAAATAACTTTATCCTAACAGCAGCTAGCCCCTCAAGGTCCTGGAAGCCTTGCTTCCAAATTCCTTAGACATTTATGCTATCCGTAACCACCACTAACTAAAAAGTATGTAATCAATCACTCCTCACAGCTCCAGTGCAGCTCGTCCTGCCCACGGGTCCTGTCCCCGTGCTATAATAAAGCATCTTTTTGCACTGAAAACGTCTCAAGAAAGCTTTCTTGACTCTTCGCTCACTGCCCCACATCAGGTGGGACCCAGCACCCTGTGCTTTAACAAGCCCCCCAGATGATTCTTGTCTGGGGATCACTGCACTCAACCACGGATATTCTCCACCTTCTATGGGGGGGGGGGAGGAAGCCAATAAAAGACATGTAACTGGTTAAAATCCACAAGTGAGGCTGAGTTTTTGAATGAATTTGTCTGGTTTTAAAGTTAAAACCTGTTGGTACCTCACGTCACCCACTGGAATCCCCACCCTGCGTCCTAAGGCAAATACATACTAACGTCTCTTACAGGGTGGCTACTGACCTCCAGGGGGGAGATTTTTTCCCCAAGGGCAACAGGCGATCTAGGGCACCACCGAAAGCTAAGAGCAAATCCTCTTACTCTGGTCCGAGCTTTGTTCTCCCCCACTACCCCCCCCACCCCACTCCCCACCCCACCTCCCCTAAAATTAAAATTGGCCAACAGCTCCCCTGGCCTTCTGGGCTTTATTATCCCCCGGGGGAGGGGGGAAGCCCCTCTTCGCTGACCCTGACACTCCCCCGAGTACATTCCAGCATCAGCTAGCTGCTCTCCCCCTGCCCCGGGTCTCAGCTCCCTGAGGAAGCCGGGCAGCCTCCCTCCCTCCCACTCCCCTTGCCCCTGCGTGTCCCGTTTCCCGGACTCACAAGGCTGCCCCGAGCTCAGAGCAGGGGCAGCGGCGGCGGGCACAGCAGCCTCGGCCCCCCGTCCACCTGCGGCTCCACGACCGCCCGGGGACGGCGAAGGTCGGCGTAAGGGAGTCGGCTTCGCGGAGCCCCCGCCTCGGAGACGCAGCGGCGGGGTCTGCAGAGCTCGGGAGGCGGGTCCCGGCCTTGGAGAGGGCGAGGGAGGACTCCTCGCGTCCCCCGAGACCAGGCCCGGCATCAGGTGCTGCGGTCCGCTGGGTCCGCAGCGGGACACTCACCTTCACCTGCTGGGTCGGCTGGGCGCGGCGGGCCAGGAACAGCGGGAAAAGCCACCAAGCCCAGAGCTGCGGGAGCATGGCTCGTGCGCCCAGGGCCAGGCGGGTCTGCGGCGCCCGGGGCGCCTCGGCCCCTTTTGAGGCCCTGGTGGGCTCGGAGCCAAGACGCGCGCTCCAATCGCAGAGCAGCGTGCACGCGCGCACACGCGCGCACGCGCATGCCCCTGCCCCTCCCCACGGCCCCTCCCCTCCCACCCCTCCCCTCCCCACCGGCCTTCTCCGCAGCCCTCGCGCCCCCTCCCCCGGCCGCGCCGCGCCGCCTCCCCTCCCCCAGCCCGCGTGCGCTCGGGAGGGGACCTGCACGGGTCCCGGCGGGTGGCGGTGGCGGTGGCGGTGGAGGCCTCTCTCCTTGGAACCGGAAGGGCTGTGTCCACCCTCCCCAAGGGGCCCGCGCCTCCTAGGGGCTCGCTCCGCACCCACGGAATCAGAATCAGACCGTCCCCCGATGTATGTGCACAGTAAAGTCTGAGCATCGTGGTCCCGGGTGACGTTCACCCCCCGTCCCGTCTCTCAAGCTTCCGTCACTGAGTCACAGCACGCTGTCTCCTAACGACGAAGCCCGGCCGCGGGGCCAGAGTGTGTCACGCGCTCTGCCCGGCCACCCGTTCCCTGGCCAGGAGCTTGCTGGCGGGGCCCGCGGGGGGCACATCCGCCGAGGGGAGACACCGGGACAAAGCCCCGACCTGTGAGTCCGCACGGCCCCGGGCTGCAGTGTCCTTCGCTGCGGTCGTCTCTGCCCGCTCCCTCCCACGCCCTGCGGTGAGGCCCTGGCAGCGCGCGGAAGGCGACCCCAGCCCGCTGAGAGCGGCCCCCCGGGTTTCACGGCCGGCCGGGCTGTGCTGAAGTCCCTCGTGCCCTGGGGGGTACGCCTTCCTTCGGAGCGCGAAGCCCCTCGCGGCCCGGCGCGGGCAGCTTGGCGCACAGGGCGCGCTGCGCTCCTGGAACTGAAGGCGGGCTCGCGCTGAATTCTTGGGAACCCCTTGGAAGCCACGCCCGCTGTTGGCGCAGATTTCTGGGCTCTTCTCAAAGGCCTGTACACTGGCCTGGTCGCTGGCGCCCGATCCTGCCTTGCGCGTTCCCAGGGCGTTTGCAGAAGGCGCCGTCGGGCACAGACCTAGGCACGCTGCCAGGCTCTTTGGCCTCTCCCCGGTCCCGGTTCACAAAAAGGGCTGGAGCTGAGACTGAGGTGACAGAGAGACCACTGACGTCAAGACCTGTGTGTGACCAGCTCCTTGACTCAGCCACAGTTGGTGTCTCTGGGCCTTGGTTTTCCCATCTGTAAAATCGGGCTAATTACTGGAGTCGGCCTGCTGGGGCCGCTTTGAGCAGGGATCGTTCCTCGAAAGGACTCAGACCCGCGCAGGGCGCAGGTGAGCAACCATTCCCACCCTCGGCTTTACGCTTGAGGAAACTGAGGCCGGAGGAAAGCTCGGGACGTGATGGCGAATGAAAGCCAGCCTGGGTTGCTGCTGTCGGGCCCTCGCTCTGCTCCGGTTCCCTGAGGCCTGTACACGTGCTCGTCTTGCAATCACGGGGAGACGCTTCTCGACAGCTCCGCGGCAGGTCCATCGGCTGAAGCTCCAGCGGCCCAGGCTCCCGCTCCAACGGTCCGGACGAACTTCTGGGCACCGTGGTCTCGGCCTCCAGCAGCGAGGAGTGACGGCGTGGAGCGCACGCCGGGCAGGAGGAACGTGTCTCTGGTGCGCTGGACGGTATCTCGGAGCTACAATTCCCCCTCCGTCCTCCAGAGCCCGCTTCCCTGACCTGCTTCCAGGAATCTTGCTTTTGCCCGTTCGCTTGTCTCCTTCTTCCCCACACTCTGCCTCTGCTGTATGATTTGTTTTAAAGATTTTACTTATTTATTAGAGAGAGAAGCATGAGGGGGGTGCAGAGGGAGAGGAAGAAGCAGACTCCCCGCTGAGCAGGGAGCCTGCGGGGGGGGGGGGGGGGGCTCGGTCCCAGGACCCCGGGATCATGACCTGAGCTGAAGGCAGACGCTTCACCGGCTGAGCCCCTCTGTTGTGTAATTTTCTAAAGATCACCTTTGTTGACATCACTCTTATGTTAAAAATGCTTTGGTTCCTCCCTAATTCTTAAACCGTTAATTTGAAATTCTCCCATGGAGCACTCTGATGTGACACTGGACAAATTTCCAGGCGTATACTTCCCTCCATAAATGTTATGTTTCTGGCCTATTGAACTGGCTCCATCACCCAAAATCCACCCACTGAGGTGTCAATTCTTGACATTTTAGGTAAAATCTGAGCCAATACTTTGGGATCCTTCCTGAAAGATTTCTTGATATGTTAATGACCTATTTTTATTCAAAATGATAGAACACAATTTTATCAAACGAGACTTCGGAGGTAACCTCTGAGTAACCGAGTCACAGATCAGATCCTGAACAGCTTGACCAGGCTCTGAATTGGACCCAAGATAGGCCTGCTGCCTTTCACAAGTAGCCGAGGGCAGCAAAGGGTGAGACTCAGATCAGTTTGTCTCAGTCACTGTTTCTGTGACCCAGTCAAGATGGAGCAGTTTTTAAAGGACATAAGCGGGAGTCCTAAGGGAAGCAATGATCTGCACCAGGTTCTAGGGTGTTGTGGGCTGAACTATGTTCCCCCCAAAAGATACATTGAAGTCCTAACCCTCTGTACCTTGGAATGTGACCTTATTTTAAAATAGGATAAAATAGGATTGCTGCCAGTGTTATTAGTTAAGATGAGGTCATAGTAGAGGAGGCTCTTCGTAAGAAGAGCGTCGTGTGAGGCTGTCCCGTGAAGACGGGGACAGAGATTGAAGTTAGGCTGCCACGAGCTAAGGATGGTCTGGGGCCACCAGACATGGGAAGAGGCAAGGAAGGCTCCTTCCCAACAGGCTGCAGAGGGAGCAGGGCCAAGGAGATGCCTAGCTTTCAGGACCGCGAGACAATACATTGCCATGTTCTCAGCCACTTAGTTTGTGGCCCTTTGTTCGAGCAGCTCTCAGAAACACACAGTAAGCTTCCACTCAGAGATAAGAACTCCATTCTCTCTGACTGCTTTCCACTTTCTTCCATTCCCTACTGTCTGTCCCCATGCTCACCACAAGGTTCCTTCAGTCTCCGTCTCTTTGATCAAAAAGGAAACAGAACTCTGTATGGCTTCCATACATGCCTTCATCCTAGTTCCAGAACAAAACTACTTCTTTGTTTACCTGAACCCCAACTTAGAGATTCGAGTCTCTGCTACCTGAAAGATTTTTCGGTTCAGTCCATCTTCCCAGGTACGTGGGGGCCGCCCTCGCCTGACTCCGGGGATCTCCTTCTCTACCCTGCAGGTGACAGACACAGGCTGCTGTTGTGGTCCACCACGTTTGTACCGCCATTCTGGTGTATTGTAAACCGCCTTTCCTCATTCATCATCTCATATCCTCCTCACCACCAGAGCACAGATGCGGCCGGAGAAGCAGCTTTCCCTCAGTTTACAAACGTGAGAGTACGATTTAAAAATATAAAGTTACTTGACATCAAATCTAAATTTTTGTTTTTTAATCTCCTTTGACGTCTTTAAATGCATTAACTACACGTATTGAGAATTGGAGGAGAGTGATGATTTTGCTGTATTTTGTTGTTGTTGCTGTTACATTTTTTAAAAAAAATATTTATTTCTTTTAGAGAGAGTGCACAAATGGGAGGAGGGGCAGAGGAAGAGAATCTCAAGCAGACTCCCCACTGAGCACTGAGCACAGAGCCTGACTCTGGGCTCGATCTCATGACCCTGAGATCATGACCTGAGCCAAAATCGAGAGTCAAACACTCAACCCACTGAGCCGCCCAGACCCCCCTGCTATTACATTTCTGTCCAAGTCTCTGTGTACTATTGCCTTGTCCTTGAGGACGCCTTGGATCCAGGCTGGCTATGGCCCTAATCCAGAGCCTTCTCGAAGGCAGCCAGTCCTGAAACAACATCCTCCTGGAGGCTTTGCCCTGCTGCCCACATTCCCACCTTCATCTGCTCCACCAGATAATTCTAGTGTTTGGTGAGGCAAAGGGGACAGCACGTACAGAGGAATGTGCTCCTTCCCAGGGAGTGCCACTGTCCATTATCCCCACCTTCGTGTTCCAGGAAGATGCCCCCGAGTCCACACACAACCATGGGTGTCTGAGACAACGTGGGCACCCACAAGACCTAAGCAACTTCTCTGCCATAGAACCAGCCATCCTAGAGCTTCTGTGACTTGGCCTTTCTCCTCCCTGCGAAGGAAGGAATATGTCATCTCATCAACACGCAAGTCAAAAATCCAACTATTACCTGGGGCAGGGGTTTGGGACTATAAGATGACCACCTTCACTGCCTTTGACACTTCATATCTTTTAATATTTCCACATCTTTTAAGAGGTGCAGATCTCTTGGTGATTTAATTTGACCAACCTCCACCTTGAGAAGACTGGGGAGAAAAATTATTGGCTGAGAAAACTCTAAACTTTTTTTTTTTTTAAAGATTTTATTTATTTATTTGACAGAGAGAGATACTGCGAGAGCAGGAACACAAGCAGGGGGAGTGGGAGAGGGAGAAGCAGGCCTCCCGCCGAGCAGGGAGCCCGATGCGGGGCTCCATCCCAGGACCGGGGAATCATGACCTGAGCCGAAGGCAGACGCTGAACGACTGAACCACCCAGGCGCCCCACTCTAAATTTTTAATGCCTGAATGTTTCAGTTTCTTCAATTCACATATGGCCTTTCAGAGGCCCAGAAAGTGGAGCGATTGATCCTTCTGACCTTGGGTAGCCTTACCGAAAACACAAGCACTGACCTCTGTCCCTGTAGCCATCAAGTCAAGTCAGGGGCAACAAACCAAAGCTGAGAAGCGTCCCTTCTTCCTGTGAATTCTCACTGCCAACGGTTCACACCGAGCTCTAGCCTAGGAGGTCCCTGCAGCTCTCAGCCTATCTCGGGGCAACTCTGCGTCTGCCTGGATCTGACCTGCAAAAGCAAAGTCAGTAGAAACAACGGATGCTGGAGGAATTGGGTGCCAGAGTG